TATATTCTTTCGCCCCTTCCATCCCTTTATTATAAGACCACACCCCTTCTCCCCTCGCCCCTTAAACCCAGTACTCAGCTTTGTACTTTGAAGCCAAACCAAATCACTACAAGAATAAAGCGATACCCAGCTGCGTCTATATATCTCTCACAGGTACTTAAATCTCCTTCAAAATATATATTTTAACCAATTGAGCTATTTTTATATTGGTAAATTTTGACGATGGTTATCAGAATAATGTATCATCACCAACATCGTCCGGGGGCCGGGAAGAGCATGCAGTCGTCGGAGAGGCATTTGTTTCTACAGGGAGGGAATGGACCGGGTGGGGATTCAGGCCTCGTTCTTTCGACCGATGCTAAGCCGAGGCTGAAGTGGACTCCTGATCTTCATGACCGTTTTGTTGAAGCTGTCAACCAGCTCGGGGGAGCTGACAGTCAGTACCTAATTTCTTCATCTTATTCATCTTATTCATCTCTCTCATTTCTCTCTCTTTCTTTATAATTTTGAACACTTTGTTTAATTTGCAGAGGCAACTCCTAAAACTGTTATGAAAATCATGGGCATTCCGGGGCTTACCTTGTACCACTTGAAGAGCCATCTCCAGGTATCCCAATATGTGTAATTTTCTTCTTCACCATATATTTTGAATTGGGATTACAAGTGTYAATCCATCTAGATTTAAAATCACTCCAAAAACCATGGATTGGGTTGATGTGTGTTGATGGTGTGAGTAGAAATTAACTTTAGTTTAAGTCTAATGAAATTATAAATTTAGGGTGTGTTTGGGAATGATTTTTGTAGGACCAAAAATCACTTTTTGTCATTATAAAAATTATTTATCTTTCTATGCAAATTAAAAATTTATTTTAAGAAAGTTTAAGGGTGTGTTTGAGATGTCAAAATCTAAAATCACTTCTCTTTTCCACCATTCAAACAAATTAAAATATTGATTTTAACAAAATTTAAAATCATTCTAAATTGATTTTTAAGGTACTAAATCGATGGTGATTTTGGAAAATCAACCGTACTTATATCATTTATTTCCAAAACATTCATTCTACCGTACGTCACTCTCAAACACATCCTTAGTCCTACTCGTAGTTACGTAAGCTAAAAAATGTTTTTTTTTTGGATGATGCAGAAATACAGGCTGAGCAAGAATCTGCAGGGACAAGCCAATGGTGGAAATGGAAGCAACAAAACTGGTAATGAAACTAATAACATTTAACAGGCCGTACCCGCACGTGCCACTCATGATTCTTGAATATATATATATATTTTATGAAGAAGGGTAACTGAAGTTGAATTAGGTATGGGTTGGCGTGTAGGCAGCGTGGCTGTGTCAGGAGACCAGAGATTGGCTGAGCCTAATGGACCAACTCGCACCACCACCAACATACTCGTCGCCCCTCACTCCAACAACAAGTACACACCACCGCCTTTTATCTTCCATTTTTCCTTCTTCATGCATCAATCTCATGGTTTGATCCAATTAATCTAACCGACTCGGTTTCCTTTTCTAGAAGCCTTCAGATCAGCGAAACGATACAGATGCAGATCGAAGTCCAGAAAAGGCTACACGAGCAACTCGAGGTAAATATTCCTAGAGTTATATTTAAAAGCAAATTGAAAATGAAGGGGTAGTCAATATGCATTTATAAACTTTGTTTAACAGGTACAACGACACTTACAACTACGGATAGAGGCACAAGGGAAGTATCTCCAAACAGTGCTGGAGAAGGCTCAGGAGACGCTGGGGAGACAGAATTTAGGCACGGTGGGGCTGGAAGCTGCAAAAGTTCAGCTCTCAGAACTCGTCTCAAAGGTTTCCACACAGTGCCTGACCGCAGCCTTTCCCGAGCTCCATCAGGGCCAGGGTCAGGCCCAGCGGCTCGGACCGCAACAGACCCAGCCCCAAGACTGCTCAATGGATAGCTGCCTCACCTCCTGTGAAGGAACGTCATCCAAGGACCAAGACCAGCTCCTCCTCCACACCAGCCACTTGGCCCTTAGACCCTACAATGTCCCTGCCCCCGGCCCCGCCTCGCTCCTGGCCTCCACTGCCGGCGACAACCATCATGGTGGCTTGTCCATGAGCATTGGAGGAGTGCTGCAAGGAGAGAAGGGTGACGGGTATAATGGGAGAATGTTGAATAATAGCAGTAAAAGGAAGGAGGTCGGGGCAGGGGCGGAGAGATATAGAATGGCAGCCGTGGCGCCTTCTTCGTTGGACTTAAATGCTGGAGATGATCAACTTAGCAATAATGATCATGTGTCTTCTACTAATTGCAAGATGTTTGATTTGAATGGTTTTAGCTGAATTGATCATGAGTAATATGTGGTTGGAAAATTTACATATAGATTATTGATTATATGCGTACTCGAATATTAGAGAGAAACAAAGTCGAGCGGTTTCGTAGTTGATGATTTCTTTGTTATATATTGTGTAACTTTTTTTTTCTTTATGTCATACCAAATTAATTTAGGGTTACACATGAATGAACCTACTCCAAGATCTTCAAACTATGCTAATATGACTAAAAAAAGATCATATAATACTTTGCTACACGAAAGTATGTTGTTTTAACTAAAATAGGCTTAAAGTGCACTTTGTTTTTCCAATGGTCAATTGCTTGAAACGTTTTAAGGTTAAGCGTATTTGGACTAGAACAATCCTGCATTAGATGATATTTTTAAGAATATTTTAAGAAATATTGTGAGTGAGGAGAAAGTACGAGATTATATTGCATTGGAAGAATTGTCTTCACTCTCAAAATCAACTCAAATATCTCAAATAAGTTGTGACGCATCCAAATCACAGCAAATGGAAATCATGTACCGAATCTTGACTAATGTGTTAGATTATATCTTTAAAAAATATGTTGAATTAATGATGCTAGCTAGCAAATAGTTGGTGAGGGAGAATTTTACTTAATCTTAATTATAGGTAATGGACTAAAATATATAAGATCTTACCACATAATTAAATTGTGATGTGAAATAACATCTTCCATAAGGAGATTTCAAAGAAGCTTCCAAAATCTCCCGCAAATCTTCCAACTTGCTGATCTGATTTGTCAAGTGAGTTTTTAGTTATTTTTTAATTGAAAAGAGTGTATTGTGTGTCTTCTTCACACATCTATTTGTTGGAAAAATTACTTATTAAGAATATTTTCCCTTCTACAGTTCTGTAGTGAAAACTAAGTTCATCACATAATAAGAAAAATATAGAGAAATCACAGTAAACGACACAAGAGATTTATACTGATTCATCCCAATTATGGGCTACGCCCAGTCTTCCGTGACAATGAGTTCTATTATAATTTTGGAATAATACAATGGACAAATAAAATAATCTCTCAAATCTAGAGGCCTCAACGAAAGTATCTAGCTTCTAGAACTGCAACAATAGAATCTTAAGAAACATGAATGAAAAAATCTCACCAAATACCCCCAAGAATAGGTTGTCGATGATGCTCTACAACTCTGGGATCTTGCCTTTGAAATTCTGCCAAATACCACTGTTGCTTATAAGAAAACAATATCCTACTTCTTGTAGGGAATTGTAGTAGTGTTGAAAATCTTTTTCTTCATATGACATAAGTTTCCTGTTGTGGCTACACTATCCTAACAATCTCCCGCTTGGAGACAAAACATCGATCTTGCCTTCCACTGCTCCAACAATGTTCCATCATCTTGGAAACCTTGCCAAGGCTCAATTCTAACTGCACCAACAGTAACTAATCAGCAACTGCTCGGGCCCAACCAAGTTCCGTCTGTGATTGCTCCGAGATTGAGCAATCCTACTACGTGGTCTTGTCTTCCAAACGCTAGAGACACAACCACATGCTCCCACTCGATCTAAGTGGTCCCTGATGCTTCCTTCCTCGATCGATCCCAACGAATTTTGATGGAAGATTTCCCCTTTGATGACTTGACACTGCCACTCTACAAACCTCACCCTCGACCTCAGCACCAACTGTAGTCTTTCTCTTCAAGCACTCGTTTGCCTACACGACTTCATCAGCTCGCTAATCCGTTTGACAACTGAGGTATTATCCTGACAGTCTACTGAACACTTCACTAAGTTGTTCCATTTTCCCTTGCTCTACTTCCCAGTTGTTTTACTTGAACAGATGGCAAATTCTCCTGATCTATCCCAATTGTCAATGCTGCTAGTTCTTTCAAGTCTCCCCCTAAACTATCTGCAGCCCTATGCATAACTTGTCTCTCTAATGCACTAGTAACACCAAACCTCAACACATACACGAAAGCTTCTATATAACCAACAACCACCACCTCGGATCCCCTCATGAGTTTCCACTTGTTTTCTGCAAACTCACTTCTGTAACCTTCGTCATCCAGCTTATCCGTTGATATCAAATTCATCATGAAACTGGGTACATTCTTGACACCATGCAAAACTAACTTGGTCCCGCTGTCAGTCCTCATACGCACACCCCCAATTCCTCTGACCTTGGAGAGTCTCTCATTCCCTGTCCTCACCATGCCATGACTGCCTGTAGTGAGAGATATGAACTAGCTCCTGTTTGAAGATACATATCCAAAGCTACACTATCCACTACCTATTCTGATGACGAATCCACAAATGTCGTGTCGCTCTCAACACATGCTAATAACATATCGTCTGACACCACGTTTGTCTGGGCTTCCATTTCTTGATCCTATTTAAGCTTCTTACAGTGTTTCTTGAAGTGGTCCTTCTCATAATAGTAAAAACATTCAATCTCACTACTCCCACTCCTCTGACTATGTCCATGCTGTTTCCCATATCTCATATTCCCTTTGTATTTGTTCTGCACTGCCAACGCTTACTACATAGAGTTCTCCTATCATAAGTGGATACAGAATTCTTTCCACTTTCTTTCCTGCGAATCTCCTCGGCAATTGCAACATCACAGATATCTGAAAATTTCAAACTCTTATCTCCCAACGAATTCAACATTGACGTCTTCATTGTTTCTCAACTCCCAAGCAAAGAAGACAACAACCTTATAACTTTCACCTTATCTAAAAAAAGTGATCTCCATCGACCCCAACAAGTTCATCAGTTGAGTGACCCATTGATGCTGGAGTTCACCAACGTGTCTTCCTCCATATGAATGTTAAAGTATCTCGTAATGAGATACACATTGCTGTTGGCAGAGTGTTTTTCATATCTGTCTATTAGCGTCTTTATCAATCTCATCGCTATTTTCTGACTCGCTAGAATACTTGCCACATGAAGGGGATGTGAATCCCAGAGCAGAAGCAGTAGAACACGTTCTTGAATTTTTTTTGAAATTTAAAACACAGAAAAATATAAAACAAGGAATAATGTTGGATTTTACCTTTGAAGACTCATGTGATCCCAATGAGACAACACTACTTGATCTTCCTCGCTATGTCTGTCGATTGAGAATCTGGATTGTGGGATCCAATTGCAAGGGATTGAGATAGTAAGAGGTTCAGCTTACTGTTATATTTATAGAGAGGGAAAATCCTAAGACCATTAGGATATCTTATCCTTTTGGATATACGATATCTTCTCCGAAAACTAGGGGAAATCCCAAGACTATTATGATATCTTTTTCTTTTTATTTAATTAATAATAAACAAATCAATTAACAATTAATTAATTTAATTATTAATTATTAATCTAATAAATAAATAATTAATTTAAATCCAAATATTCATTAAATAAATAGCAATTAATTATTTAACTTATAATTAAATATCACATATTTAATTAAAACTATATATTTGAATCATATTCAAATGCATCTCTCTTGTATAACCTATAGTTTTAATATAAATCCAATTCATATTAATTATTTGAATCATGTTTAGGAATGGTAACGGGGCGGGGTGGGGGGCCATCCCCATCCCTGCCTCGTTGGGGATTTTTTCCCCATCCCCACCCTCGTCCCCAAAATTTTGGGGCAGGGACGAGGCGGGGATTCCCCGATCGGGGACGGGTTCCTCGGGAACCCGTCCCTGTTATAAATATATTTTTTAATTTTTTAATTTTTTTAATTAATTTTTGTTATTATTAGTATAAAAATGAACAAAAAGTTGCTAAATGAGGTGTTAGCTTGAGTTTTTTTTTAAATATTAAAAAGTATTTATAAAATTAATATATATTAATATAATTATATAAAAAAATGGTAAAAGTAATAAAAAATTAAATCGGGCGGGGTCGGGGATGGGGACGGGGCGAGGGGACCGATCCCCGTCCCCATCGGGTAACTCGATTGGGATCCCCGGTTTGACCGGGGACGAGGTCAAACCAGGGAATCCCCGACCCGATCGAGTTGGGTACCCGCAAGGATCGAATCCCGCGGGTATTTTTGTCATCCCTAACCCTATTCAAATATTTCTCTCATAACATATAGTTTATTTATTGAATCTTTATTAAAAAATAAACTATATATATAATGTATCATAATTTACATTATATACATTCCCTGGTATATAATTTGAACATTTCAAATTCTCTCAAAATCTTGATTCTCGTTTTACCCGTTTTGAGCTAGCAAGGGGACCTAATGGACCTAGAAACTCCAACGATATGAGGTTAATGAATTAAACTCATTAACCAAATTAACCAACATCTCTTAACTGCAGATCATTCCACTAAAGATTTGCAGCTACATTCTTCTCACTGCAGAATATTTCGTGTCCACAGAAATTGACCATTGACGATAAATCTATCATTCACGAGTGCTCGTAACTCTATGGGTCAAATTATCGTTTTACCTCTAAGTTACATCTTGTTCTTTAAATACCACTGCTCCTCTAATGAACAACCTGGTTATAGTCCGACCAATAACCGGAAGTCCCTCTTGGGCCAGTAAAAGAGTGGGACCCCTTGTTCAAGTCTAGGAGCCAGCATGTAAGAGAACACTCATCTACTTCCCTAAAGTCGGGAAGGAGTGGATTCAATCTTATGTAGTTATGTTCCCAGCATCTCACACAGTCTCATCCTCAAAATGGTACGATTATTGAGTCGGAAACCACGGCCACTCTCACCCATACAAATCAAAGGACGATCCCTTATAGGTAGGAGTCCATAACTTGTTCAGGATTAAAATTGAGTTACCTAGTCATCCTTTGAGATAACAATATATTAACTAACGATGTTAGAGCCAACGATTAAATATTTTGGAATCCGGTCTTATATAAACTCATTGTATAGAATACTCACACTCGCATGTCTCTACATGAACGACCTGGATAAAGTCATGTGTAACTATTACAAAGCGGGCCGTGTCCATCGTATCACCAAGATAAGGTACCCAACCTTATCCATGTACTATAGACCATTTAGGTTATTACTGGAACACTATCCACTTGTATATCGAATATATACTA